GATCCTCTTATGTTGTAGCCAACAAGAAAGATTTCTGACTTGGTTTGATCGGTCTATAGTAGGCCCTTATCTTCTTTACATTTATCGCAGGTGACGCGGCCTGTCAGACAATAGCAACACAAGAACGTTTTGTGTGAAGAATGTTTTGTTGAGGCTTCGTTAACTGTATGAAACAGATCAAGCAGACGTGGGAGGGACGTTCTAGATGTTCGATTCCAAACGTAGTTTCCTGCTGTCGTGGTTTTCCTCAGGTGACAGACGTCATCTAGTTGATTTTGAAATGATCGCGATAGGCTTCCAGTTGCGTCAGCAGTTGTCGGTATCACCTCTGTCTTCACGTTCCTCATGTGATATCGGTAGGTCTTTGTTTTGTTTTCATAACTTTCCTAGTTCTTTCTTTACATGTTATTAGTTGGTTTACTATTTGGTATAGTCCTTGTTGTATGTTAAGGTTACTGCAGAACATACATCAAAGCAGCTGAAACTGAAGTCTAATCGCATCAACAAACAAACAAAAGTGGCAAGCAGGCAGCCGCTATCGCCAATTGAACACTTGCACGTCTTATCTACAAAAGCTGAGTCCGTCCTCTGTTCTCCTTTCCTTTCGTTTCCTTGAAGGACAGAGGTTATTCCAAGGGAAGGCAAATGCATTCAGTACCACGAAACCGCTATACTCTGTAAACGATTACGAAGAGCCGAATGTAGTTTTAGAAATTAAATCTACAGCCTCAAAGGAAGCCAGAAAGTAACAACAGAATAGTCTCTTCGTGACAATCTGGAATACACTTCATTTTCACAAATTATTTCATTACGGAACGCATTAATCATTGGTGGAAAATATGTTTCAGAAATGTTGCTAAACAGCAGTCTAATAATATTCTATCCATTTTATCGTGTTTTGTGTAATGTCCTGTCGCCATGCCATGAATTATCGTCATTAATTTCATTCCGTATGCAAAGCAAACGAACTTCACGATGCCGATCGCAAATGCTTTGTAATTCAGATCTGTGTTGTTAAATTTCACTGAACCTCATTGTAAATCTGAAACATAAAGAAATGACGCGCTTAACGTGCGGATCTGTAGGTGAAACAAGAAATGTGTACACAGCTGTGGAAAGGACTCCGCTTTTGAAGGCGAATACTTGAATGACGAAGGGGGGGGCGTGAAAAAAAGTTAGTGGTGAAGTAGATTGCTTTCAAGTGCCGATAGCTCGTAATAAGTTGAAAAGGCGTGCAGACTCTGGTGCTGGGAGTTGATTCCTCGCGTTTTGTTACTGGAATGTTAGTGTAGTTAATTGTATGTTCGCATCGGGTCAACTGATATAATGTGGGGGATGCGAATTTGTGTTGTGCGAATTGGGGCTTGCATAGAAAAGGGTATCGAAAGAGGAGGTTTTCGTAATCTGAACTCATCAAACTCGAGTGTGAACCATGGCAGTTGTGGAACTTTCGGTGTCTATAGCAGGCGGGGGGTTTCCTCAATGTCTGAGTGACCCCTTACTTCCCCATGCGGAGTTATGTTCAGTATCTGAGGCCTTGTAAGATGCTTTTGTTTCGCTTGAGGTCGAGACCATTGTATCCTGTAGTCCATACCTCATACATTTTTTTTTTCCTTTTGTGTCTCGTCCAAATTTCATTGCTGCATTGAAGAAACAGAATATCCAATGGCTTGTATAATCTTGATCTATAGGTCTAAGCATCTGTCATCTACGTTAGGTTGCTGACCAATAGTACAGCTACAATGGAAAGCAGAATATTAATAACTTCTCAGCTTGTATTTGGCAACGTCATTAAAAAGGTAGATACTCAGAACAGCAGGTT